GTAGAATCCCAAAGGGAAAAAGGAAGGCCTCCCTAAACCTAGCTCAGGACGAGGGCCAAGCTGGAAAAAGTGACTTGCAGGCCAGTCACCACGTTTTTCCCCAGTGAAAGGCTGACTCATTGCAACAGGCCTGGACTGGCTGGGACTCGAGCCGGTGGCTTGGAACATGCCTGGGCAGTGAACGCCTTGTCTAAAGGCTGGGTGGTGAGAAGCTGCGGGTCAGGGGAGCTGAGGCCGCGGCCCTGGGGAGCACCCACACGCAGCCTGGGAGCCCGAGGGAAGCAGGGGGAGGGGGGTCCCTAGTTTCCCTCCCCCTCAGACTCTTGGGGGCCTGGCATAGCACAGCAGGAGCTGGGTGAGGTCTGGAGGGGCCCTAAGACCCCAGGGGAATTAAGTCCTAATGTCCTAAGACATACGTGTTATGGTGTTTCCTGCCCATAGGACATGCAAACAGAAAACAACACTAAACTTAAATGTAGAGAAAACGAATAAGGTCTTGGTTTGCTTCATGAGCATTCATCCCCAGGCTTTCCTTTGAAATATCAAAGTGGAATTATTTTCCAGCAAGGGGGAAGATGGAAGGGAACTGGGCTGCTTTCCTAGTGCCCTGGGCACACGCTCAGTCTGCCCTTGGGGTGGTTTGGCGTGATGCAGAGTGCGGAGTTTGACTCCGATGGGCCCCCCAGACACTCTTCCCTCCTCATGCCACTGTCCATGTTGATATCCAGGGCTTTTCGGCAAGGACTTTTGAGCCATGCGTTGGTTTAAATCCTGGCTGTGCCGTCTGCTTGCTGTGTGACCTTGGGTAAGTCACTTGACCTCAAGGGACTAAATTTCTGTACATGTCAAATGGAAAGTACACAGGATAAATGCATGCATAGTGCCTAGCGCGGCACATAGCATGGAGTCTGGCTTATATACAAGATCTCTTTCAGCTTCTCCATTTATGCCCTACCAAGCTGCTTTTTAGGAAAAAATGGTGTCAGTCATTCACACTTTAGTGTGAATAAGCCCCTGTCAGTGTCATTCCTTCTTTTCATTTATTTACTCAACAAATGCCAGGTACCTGCCTGGTACCTCATTGGAGCGAGGGGCTACTACTCTAAGTACAGATTTTTCTTTTTATCCTCACAACAGTCTCTGCAAGATCACTAATATCCCCATTTGGTGGTGGAGGAAACTGAGACTCAGGGGGGTGAAAGAACGTTCTCAAGCTCAGACAGCAGAGCCTTGTTCATTCAGGAAACATTGACTGAATTTCTGCCCTGTCTCAGAATGGGGACTAGGGGCACAGCAGGCAGTGAGTCACGCCCCCATCTTAAGACCCTCATAGGCTACTGGCTGTATTTGCACATTTCTGTCATCACTCTAATTGTTAAAGTCCCTAAAAACCTTGTGCATGTGGTCAGGGAGCGCCTTCCCCTTCCCTCCAATTGCCTGTCACAGGGAGTTGCCTTCTTCCTAGTGTGTAGGACTGGCCCTGCCCAAGGCTGAGCTGCCAGATCAAGAAAGCCTCCTGCCTTTTCTTTCCACATCATTTTCTGGGGCTCCGTTGAGTAGATTTCCAAGACTACTTCAGAATTCCGTTCTTCTCCCTTCTTTTGCACTTCATGAAATAATATATATTACAGAAATAACACATGTTCATTGTAAAAGAGAGAGAGAGACAGAAGAAAATAAAATAAAGAAAAGCAAAAATTTTCAAAGTAACAGTAACTCCAAGTCGTGCTGAGACGGTTAAAATTTTGTGGTATTGTCTGCCAGACCTTTCTCTTATGCAATTAGAATATAATTAATAGTGATAATGATAACACTAATTTTAACTAACCCTGACTTGAAGCTTCCTCTGTACCAGATACCGTTCTAAGCACCTTAAAAATTTTAACTCATTTATTCCTCACAATAGCTCAGTGAGCTGATTATTACTGCCCTCATTTTACAGGTGTGGAAATTGAGGCAGAGAGAGAGAACATTTAAAAGGGTACATATTACTCTCTTGTTTTAAAATGGGAGCATTCTGAAAGCACTGTTTTGTGACCTACTTTTCTCCCCTTAACAATTAGAAATTTACCTTCTCAATTGTACTTTTCATGACTCTTTAGCATTCCAACCTTCATGCACACCATGAATTATTCAACCAGTGTCCTGTAGGCCACTTTTCTGATTTTCAAGGTTTTTTTTAACTATGAATGACACAGAGATGTCCATCTTTGTAGCTTAATCTTTTTTTTTTTTTTTGCGGTACACGGGCCTCTCACTGTCGCGGCCTCTCCCGTTGCGGAGAACAGGCTCTGGATGTGCAGGCCCAGAGGCCATGGATCACGGGCCCAGCCGCTCCACGGCATGTGGGATCCTCCCAGACCGGGGCACGAACCCGCGTCCCCTGCATCAGCAGGCGGACTCTCAACCACTGTGCCACCAGGGGAGCCCTGTAGCTTAGTCTTTGAAAACTTGATGAATCCCTCCCTGTGATAACTCCTGGAAGTGGAATCACCTCGTCTCGAGACATACCTGTTCCAAGGCTTCTGGCGCCCCTTGCAAGTTTTCTCCCAGAGCAGTAAGACTCCTGGGAGGCTAAAGGGATGTGAACCGTCATAGCCCCATGGAGGACAGCTTTGGTGATACCCATCAGAATGACAGATGCTCATGCTATGACCCAGCAGTCCCTCTTCTGGGAGTTTATCCCATAAATATCATTATACACATACAAAGTGACATCCATATGTTACAATTAGTCATTGCAGCCCTGTTGGTAATAGTGAAGGGTCAGAAGTAACCCAAATGTCCGTAATAAGGAACTGATCAAGTAAATGACAGTATATCTATACAGTGAAATCATATGCAGTTGTAAAAAGAATTCCAAGCCTTTCTATGTATTCATGGGAATAGCTCCCCAAGATATCATAGGTTAAAAATAAGTGCAGGCTACTTACAATAGCCAGGACATGGAAGCAACCTAAGTGTCCGTGGACAGATGAATGGATAAAGAAGATGTGGCACATATATACAATGGAATATTACTCAGCCATAAAAAGAAACGAAATTGAGTTATTTGTAGTGAGGTGGATGGACCTAGAGTCTGTCATACAGAATGAAGTAGGTCAGAAAGAGAAAAACAAATACCATATGCTAACACATATATATGGAATCTTAAAAAAAAAATGTTCTGAAGAACCTAGGGGCAGGACAGGAATAAAGACACAGACGTAGAGAATGGACTTGAGGACACGGGGAGGGGGAAGGGTAAGCTGAGACGAAGTGAGAGAGTGGCATTGACATACATACACTACCAAATGTAAAATAGATGGCTAGTGGGAAGCAGCCGCATGGCACAGGGAGATCAGCTCGGTGCTTTGTGACCACCTAGAGGGGTGGGATGGGGGGGTGGGAGGGAGACACAAGAGGGAGGAGATATGGGGATATATGTATACGTATAGCTGATTCACTTTTTTATACAGCAGCAACTAACACAACAATGTAAAGCAATTATACTCCAATAAAGATGTTAAAAAAAAAAGTGCAGGGAGAGACAAATTAAAGGTATGGGTCTATCAGATACAAACTACTATGTATAAAATAGATAAGCAACAAGGATATTTTGTATAGCACAGGGAATTATAGCTATTATCCTATAATAACTTATAATGGAGTATAATCTGCAAAAATGCTGAATCACTATGCTGTACACCTGAAAATAATATAATATTATAAATCAACTATACTTCAATTTAAAAAATGTGTGCAGAATGATGTAAATAGCATGCTATTTTTGTAGGAAAAAAGGAGGCAAGTGATAGCCCTCATTTGTAGTTGCATGTATAAACACTGATAAGCTCTAACATAAGTTAAAACAGTACCTACCTGCCTATTTACGGTGATTTTGGCTGGGCCAGAGAGATCAAGATTAAAGAGAACGAAACAAGACAGGAGAACAGTTTTTTTCACTGATCACTTTTTGTGCTTTCAGATTCTGAAACTATGCTGTACGTCTATTCAGAAAATTCTAGCTCTTAAAATTTCCCTTCCGGTATTGTTAAATTTTTTTTAGGTATGATAACGCTATTGTAGTAATTTTTTAATGGCATACTTGCTTTTGAGAGATAGTGAAATATTTACAAATGAAATTATATAATGTCCCGATTCCCTTCAAAATAATATTTGAATGGAGGAAGCAGGATAGTATATATATTACAGATGAAAGTGATTGGACATGAATTGATGACTGTTCAAGCTGAAAAGCTGATACGTAGAGGATTCATTATGCTCTTCTGTTTACTTAAAGAAAGAATTTATTGAGGTGAAATTCACATAAAATCAAGCACCTTAAAGTGAACAGTTCAGCGGCATTTAGTACATTCACAGCGTTGTGCAACCACCACCTCTGTCTAGTTCCAAAACGTTTCCATCGCTTCAAATTAAAACCCTGTACCATTAAGCAATTTCCCCCCATTTCTCCATCCTTCCAGCTCCTGGCAGCCATCTGTCTGTGTCCTGTCACTTATCTATTGTGGACTTATCTATTCTTGATATCTCCTATAAATGGACTCATAGTATTTGTGACTTTTTTGTCTGGCTTCTTTTACTGAGCATCATGTTTTTGAGGTTCGTCCATGTCGTAGTTTGTGTCATGCTACGTATACACACTGTAGTGTAGAGCGTGTAGTACTGCATTTCTTTTTAGTCCTTCGCGTGTATATACCGCATCACGTTTATCCGTTCATCCGTTGACGAACGTTTGGGCTGTTTCCACTTTTGGGCTATTGCGAATAGTGCTGTGAGGAGCGAGCTTGTACGTGTCCTTGTCCGGGTACCTGTTTTCAGTTTTCTGGAGCGTATACCTAGGAGCACAACTGCAGTTATACGGTCATTCTATGTTTAACTCTTTGACGCGTCACTCAGCTGTCCTCCCCAGCAGCCGAACCATCTTACGTTCCCACCAGCAATGTAGGAAGGCTCCAATTTCTCCACATCCTCGTTAACATGTTTTTTCTTTATCGTAGCCATCGTGGTGGGTGTGAAGTGGCATCTCATTGTGGTTGTGATTTGCATTTCCCTGATGACTAATGATGTTGAGCATCTCCTCGTGTGCTTCTTGGCCGTTTGTACGTCTTCTTTGGAGAAATGTCTGTTCGAGTCCTCTGCCCATTTTAAAATTCAGTCATTTGTCTTTCTGTTGTTTCTGTCTACTTTCTTATATGTCTTAAATTCTCCACAGTAAAAAAAAAAAGGTACAAAAATATTAGACATTTTATTAACAACTTTAAGAAACACACATCTCCCCTCCCCCCGCCCCCCCCTCCAGGAAAAGTAGTAGTTTTCCCTCCTTTTTCCCCCAGTTGAATTCCCCAGAGATCCCTACCTCCATATACCATAATGTGGTTTCCAAAAAAACCGTATTTGCTCTTCAAACAAATAAATAAGCACAGGTGTCTTCCCTTTCACCCTCTTACAGGTAGGTGCAGGGTGGAACAGCAGGGCTCTCAGGAGTAGCCGGGGCTGGCTGTCCCCATCACTTTGGCCACAGCCTGAGGCCAAGCCCCCACCTACCTAGCAGGCTGGTGACTCATTCCCTGAGGGCCCCGTGTAGAGCGGAAGAAACCTCCTGGGCCCCAATCCAGCCACATCACAAGACTGGATGGACCAGCGTGTCGGTGGCTTGCATAGCCAATGGGAGAGGCTTCACCCAGCTCATGTTCTGCTGTGGCAGTCGGGCCAGACAGATGGCTTGGGATAAATGGGGGGGGGGTGTTGCCGAAGGGGGGATTTGGCTTTGAGTGGCCTCAGCCTCCCTCTGGAACCCGGAGGAAGAGGTAGGTGAGGTGAAGGCCATGCCTGAGGAACGGGCTGTAGTTTGGTGCCTTCCAAACATTCTGTGATGTTTTTTAGCAATGGAATTCTTGCTTAAACAAACCTTTACGATATTTAGGACAGAGAAACAGGAAGCTGCTGCAGCTAAAGAGGGGGTGAGAAGCCCAGAGCCTGCCCTCCCTCCATGCCATGTGCACTCTGGGGAGTTCTGGGTCTCTGGGGAACATGCCGGTCCCGTTAACACAGAGTCTTTATATGCAACCACTTGGGAACTCAGCGCGGTCTGTCTCTTGGAGCCTCGAAGGGGCTCCAGAGGCCTGAGGAGAAACCTGGCAGCCCGGCAAGCTCCAGCCTGAGATTCTGACCCCCCTTCCACACAGAGAAGAGACCTCTTGCTTAACCGCTCACCAGCCACGTACTGGGGAGCTGACCAAGGGCTGTAGAGATGGGCCAGGGTGTGCGTGGGCTACAGGAACCTGCAAGGGACAGAAGGAGCTGCAGTGGCCTGGTCTCCAAGCCTTCCAGCCTCCATTCCAGCAAGAGAGCTGGGAACTCGGTCCCAGCCTCCCTCCCTCCGTCCAGCAGAAGTGCCTCATCCCAAGTGGTCCATGGGTAACTACTGTCCCAGGCCCCTCTACCTGCCCCTCTCCTAACCTTAAGAGAGATGTGGGGGAAGGAGTGGCCCCTCCTCCCACCCCAGAACATTTGACATAGAATTTCCTCAAACCCAGATTCTGGTTCTCAGCGTAGTCAACCTAAGTGCCCAGCCCGCCCCAAGCTCCAGTAGTCCGTCAGGGTTAGTTCTTTAATTAGAGAATGGGCCCATTTTTGGCTGCAGGATGGTATGTGGGGACATTTGTCAGGAAGCAAATAAAGAGTCGGGCGAATAACTTTACCCTGAGCTTCAGTTATCTCCTCTGCCCACTGGGGATCATAGTACCTATTCCACGGGGCTATTTTGAGGATTAAATGAGATAATGCATGCCCAAGCCCAACATCACAGCAGCTCAGTTTAGAAGCAGTTCTGTACCAGAGAAAGGGCCTAGCTCTGTCCTTCACACGATGTGTAACCTCTGATGAGGCTCAGATTTCTCCTCTCTGAGCTCCAGTTTTTTCACCTCTTATTAAATACCTACCCTTCTCCGTTGCTATAGGAAGTAGAGATAAGTCACATAAACTGCTTCATATAGTGCCTGGCATAGGGAGAGTACTCAAAATATGGTAGTAACTGAGGCAATTATTATACTTTTACTATTATTATTTTTATGATTACCATTACTATTATTTAACAGGAAGGGCAATGGGGTTTTGTAGTTAAGCGCGTAGACTCTGGAGCCAAATTGCCAAAATTTAAATTCCAATTCGCCACCGGAGCTGTGTGGCTTTAGGCAAGTTACTTAGCCTCTCCTTGCCTACATTTTGTTAACCATATAAGGAGAATAATAATTAAACCTACCTCATGGAGTTGCTGTGAAAATTAAGTTTTTGTATATGGAGTGCTTTGAAGAGTGCCTGGCAAATAATAAGTGCTACAAACTGCTGCTAGTAATAGTAGTATTGGTATGACTACTACTATGCACAACCAGATTCTGAAAGCCTTCCCCTTGGATCCAATTAAGAAGAGGCAGAAACCAACATGTTCACCATTCCACTAATGGTTTAGTGACTCAGAAGCTGTGTGACCTTGGGCCAGTTAACTCCCCTCTCTGAGCGTGCCTTTATCTATTTCCAAAATGTAAATTATACTAGTACCCGTAATGGTCCTTCTAGGTTGTTAGGCTTCATTAATGAGCCATGACCCGTGGGAAGCTTCTAGCTTCTAGTTAATTAGGCTCTTTTTCCAACGCCCTGCCTAAATCCAGCTCCACCCCGCCCCCCCCCCAGCAAGCCTTCCCTCCCCCCCCAACCCCGGGAGAGCGCTCGGATTCCCTCCCGCGGGGCGCGAAGGGGGGCTGCCCGGCGCCCGATGCCAGGTCCTATTCTGGGGGCCGAGCGAGCCCGCGGCCGTGCCAAGCTTCCCCGGGGATCAGGTTTCTGCTGACGCGGTGCCAGGCACGTCTGCTTCCAGGAACCGGCAGCCGCATTTAGCCGCGGGCCGCACATGAAAGGGCTGCAGTCGGAAACGTGACGTTGTGTCAACAGGCGAGGCAGGTCAGCGCTGGGTGAGACCATCCCGGCTGGCCGGAGGCTCACGCCCTGTCTGAAGGCGGCTGGATCGCAAGTGTCCGCTCCCCCTACCTCGGGCCACCTCTCCTCGGCCCCAAAGCCAGCGCTTCGGCCCCTCCCACTCACACACACCCCTTGGTTAACAGAGGTCCTATTTGTCCCCAAGGGGCCAGAGACTGGGGTGCGAACCCCTCCTCCACATCTCCCTCCGAACCACTTGGAACCTGCTGGAACCGACCTAGAAAGAAGATCAAGGGCAAACTGGAAGCAGAAGAGGAGGCAGAGGGAGGGCTGCTGCTTTGAGGGGTGCTCCACAGGCTCCAGTCGTGGGATTCTGGGCTGAGGCTGTGTGGAACCCCCAAACCCTTTTCAGTTCAGGGTGCGGTACCACTTCCCTCTGTCTCCACAGCTACTCCTTGAGTCACGGCCCAGGGAGGAGAGGGGGGGCAGGCCAAAAGAGCCTGGCCTCGATTCCAACCCAGTGCTCCATCCCCAGGATACCCTTGATTTGTTTAGGTTTTTTACCCATAAAGTCTAGCCAGAAAAGCTTAGCAATTCATGGAGGAATTCAGCAGCTTAACAGGCAGGAGACCCTGAGGGCCAGGCCCTAAGCTGCTGGGAGAAAGACGGCCTTACCCATGGCTGTCTGCCTGCTGTAGGACATGTGAGGAGGGCTCAGAAGCCTTTCTTATTGAACCACAAATAGGTGTGGAGGGGGCGATGCCAGACTACCAGTTCATTGATAAGACCACCAGCTCATCTCCTGACTCCTGGTCCAGGGCTCCTCCCAGGACACCAGGCTGCCTGCGGGCACCTCACACAAGCCAGGCGATGCTCACTGTCGCCTGCTGGCTCATCAGCAGAGAGGGAAGGTGACATTTGAAGCAAACAGACACGAAGGGCAGGTGGTGTCTCTGCCTGGCTGAGAACTCCCTGGGGGCAGTTTCCCTGCATGGGCTCCAGACAGCCAGAGGGTTCTGGAAAGTGCTTTGGGATCTGGAGCGTGGCAGCCAGGCGCTGGCCATCAGGAAACATCAGGACACCTCTGAGACGGAGAAGGGGACAGGCAGAAACGCTCACTCAACCGGGTCATTTCCCACTTCTTTTCCCATGGAATTTTTTTTTTTTTCATAAGAGCGCTTGACTAAGGAACACCAATATTCATTCACGCACAAACACACCCAATGAGAGGAAGTCCAGGAAGGATGTAGAAACTAATCATGGAATGTTGCTTTCAGAGGCAATTGGACAGGATATGGCAAACCCATTAGACCATGCTAGACTCGAAAAAGTCGCCTTGGTAGAGGTGCTATCCCCAGCAGCAATTATTATTGCATCATAATCATTAAATCTTCCCTCTGTGCTCCCCCCCTCCAGCAAGCTCCCCAGACACTGAGGCCCATGATTTCGTACTTTGATTTTCTGTCAAGTTTTAAGGACCATGACAAAAGCAGACTGGGGGAAAAAATAGGCTTTTTGCTTAACTCTGGAAAGAGGCACAGGCCAATAGTAAGCCTCTGGCAAAGGTTAGTCTAAGAAAACAGTTGAACAAATATTTACCTACGAAATTGACTAAGCTGATTCTGTGTGAATACAGGCATGGGAAAAGCTGAATGAAATCACACCAAGATTAACTAGTTGTTGCTTTCAGCCAGGAGGGGAGGGCAGAAGGAGAAGGCCATATCACACCCTTCAGAGTTCTTTTAAAAATGCGGGAGACCATCTTTCTCTTCCACAGGAAAAGGATTATTTTATTAAGTATTTTAAAACAACTAGTTAACATTGACTCATAGATAAAAATATTTACAATCTCCCACCTTCAGGAAGGCTCCAAAATATAGACACTGTACCTCTCCCTAGAGAAAAAAAAATTATTCTCTTCAAAAACAGGAATACATTCATTTGTTCTCACTTTTGTAGATCAAGTAATTATACAAATAAACATCTGAAACATTTTCCTTTTTAATATATTTATATAATATATATTTATAACAGTTTTACAAATAAAGGCAACGACTTTAATACCAAAATAAAAACAGGAAAAGAAAAAGTTAAAACACGATCA